CCCTAATCGCCCCCCCGATGTTTGCCATCGGGGTTGGGTTTTCGTCGCTTGGCAACGACGTTGTAAAACAAGCCGCCCCCCCCGGTGTTTGCCATCGGGGTTGGGTTTTCGTCGCTTGGCAACGACGTTGTAAAACAAGCCCCCCACTCGGTGTTTGCCATCGGGATTGGGTTTTCGTCGCTTGGTAACGACGTTGTAAAAGAAGCCAATTCACTTCGTGAACTCGGCAACCAGGTTACCGGTTTTTTTTTTTTGGCGGTAACCATAATGGTGGTCGAGTAGATCATGTTGTGCGGGGTCGAGAAACCTCACTCCGCGCAACGGGGGATGATCGCACCACGTTGTGTTAAAATGGTCAAGCTTCCTCGAGGCAGTTACACAGTGCTTACAACTGTCTCTGGAAGTGAAAGCACCAGAAAATAAATTAAGTCATACGTAGCTGTCATCCGTACGCAAGGAAGTAAGCACAAGATGCCGAACACCCTTAGCAGGATGCAGCTCACCCTTCATGCGACTCGCCAAATACCTCACGGTGCTTCGCGCTTGGTGATGTGAGAGCCTGGTCCGGTGAGAACCCGGCGTGCTCCGTCCCGGCTTTGTAGGGATGCGAGGTCAATGGTCAAACGACTACGGCATGCACGACTATGAGTACACCCCCCCCCCCCCTAAATCGGGTGCAGTGGACCTTGACTCTCGCCCGCCTCCAACTTGCTCGGCCTCCGCTGTCCTTGCGTTTGGTCGCAGCTACGCTGACATTCCCGTGAGCACCTTCGGGGGAGACGAGTGCGCTATGATGGACACGGCACCGCCCCCACCCTACTCCGACGAGCGCAACACCAGGTTTAAGCTCATTCCCAGGGTTATTGGGGGACCGTGGATGGTGAGGAAAGCGGTAGGCTCCACGCCAGTCCTGCTGGGTACCAAGATCACTCACAGGTGTGTTGCGTATCGCCCTTGCGTTGACCCCTCTGCTGGGCGACGTATGTAGCGCATGCTGTTTGTCGACGAAGAATTCGTTGGTAGAACCTGCGCCCCTACGAAACAAAACGATGGCTGTTAAATTGAAAATCGTTTCACGCTACCGGTGGCATCCACCGAGCCCGGAATGTCGAATGATTTCTTCCCGTTTCAGTAGTCACGTTTGATGTTGATGCGGGGGTTGTTTGGATTGGTACTTTAGCTGGGTCATGTCCACGCCAAAGCCGAACACGATGGTGCGTGCTGGCATGTTCCCTAGTCTGCAGCCCGTACCGAGACGAATATTGGATGCGAGAATCGCGATCGTACTATCTCCTGCTAACGCGCCCAGCCAAGGCAAAATGAAGTTGCTACAACATGCGTCCCGGCACACAACACAGCATTTGACTATAAGCTACAACCCGCGCTTGGGTTGGTTTTTGAGCGCAGGTACTACCGAGGCGAGCGCTACGTAGAAACGGACATGGACACCGGCTCTTCCCCCGCGGCGGCCAGCTTGTGCGGCCGGTGCAGAGGGCTGAGTCGCAAGATTGACGTGGAGCTGGGGATTGTGCTTCAGGTGACACAAATCGAACCCAAACCGTTATACAACCTGTTGCACGGCGTTTTTGTAATGGCAGTTTGAAGGTTCGCCGCGTTTGTGTACTCGAAAGTCGACGCAGGGTTGTCGTACTGCTGGGTGGTGTCCGTGGCGGTGGGAATCTGTGCTGATCCCAGCAAGAGTTTCCTCCTTCGACAACCTGTTGTGCTACGTATTAGTTCTGAATTATGGCCGACGGCACGATGCAATGCATAGTACCAGGGCGTCTCGCCTCGGGTGTTGCATTTTTTCACGCTTTTGTGATATCTCCGAACGTGTTTTTTTGTTGGTACGAAGCAGTTGATTGGGTACTGAACGTTGTACTGGAGAACATGTTTCCCTTTTTGTTCGTGCGTGTGGGATGCAGACGGTGCCCTTAATCTGGCTTTGCACGGGTGCGGGGACAGCTTTCCCTGACTGTTCAAAATCCATCGAACATGACATCACGCCGGAAATGGTGGAGGAAGTAGCAGCCAGGTAGACATTCCAACGTTCTTGAAGTGGAAACACACAGCAGCGCAAAGACAATATCGACGACGTTATCAACGACAATGGTAATGACGACGAAGACAATATCAATATCAACAACAACAGCCACCCAACTGCGCTCCACTTTCTTTGTTCTTTAGGCGAATTCCGCGCAAGAGCTTCCGGAGGCTCTGCTCGGCGCCGTTCGACTCAACGGTTTCGGAGTGGAGGACCCTGACCTCCAGACCAAGCTATACCAGTGAACCGTATATCTAGATATGGCACCATTCCATCCAAATAAAGTGTAGATACGGGCGTCCAATGCGCTTTTACGTCAACGTAAATCGGGGTGTTAATTGTATGGTGTGGTCTCCTTCAGAGGCGGGTACACGGAATGGTGTCCTTCGGTGGCTGGATGCGGCTAAGAAGTCCACTAAATGTAGCGGTTGAGGGTAGGGAGTTGGTACAGCTGCATGACTCAGACGCTTGATAGACTCTGACAGCAGCTGTTTTCTGGCTGCAACAGCAATCGTTTAGAGAAGCAATAGAAGCCGTGGTGTTTTGGTGTATTATGCAAAACGCCCAGTGCGAATTGTAAGAAATCATGCCTGGACGTATCCAAGCAAACAGAGTAATTAGTCGATACAAGTGTGTTGCTTGTAGTATCTAGGTCGACCCGAGAGGAAGGGCAAAACAAAGTGAGACGAACCACGAAACGGCAACCCGGCCAGGCTGGCTGCCGTTGAGCCCCTTCCGCCATGTAGTTTTGTTGGAGGAACAACGGATCTTGGTCCAAAGAACCGAGAGGGCATGTTGAAGCCGTGTTTCTGTGGCATTGACAGCGAGCCGAGCACAACACGTTTTCGGTGGCGACAAACCCCGCCTTAGGTCTCCCTTGACGTTTAGAATTGCTTTCGACGCGAGGATACTCGACGGGAGGCAGAGGGAACTTGCGAGACCTTCACACAGCTTGCGGCACGCTCTGATATTCTTAGAGATGCCGCCTACGAGAGCATTCATCAAGATAGCTGCTCAGCGAAGACAACTAAAATTTTCCCCTGGTTCCCAAACACACACCATCGCAAAGAAAGCCCGTGCCGTCAAGGTCAATTCTCTAGCAACCCCACACCGACAACCGTCACACCCTGCAGTTGTGGACACAGACGATTCCGCGCGCGATGATCGGTATTTTCCGACTAAAAGTCTAGGCTTTGAACCCGCAAACACCGAGATCAATCCTCCATGTTTTGGACAATGTGGATGTGGGTATCCATTTGATTCATGGCTTCTCTTTCGACGTACCCATGCTCCCGTCGAGCAAGTCCCTTGCACGACCGAGAGGCACTGCAGTAGGGTAGTGTTTATCACTGACGCACGTCCGGGCTCTTTAAGCAAATGAGTAGAACGCGGCCAACGCACGTGGCTGCAGCCACCACATTGCCCGCGTCTACAGCAATTTCTGGGGACCAACAACCGCAAGCGATGTAGCACTGTTTCAAAACTACAGCAAGACCAACTCAACGCCGAGAGCCAAATGATCCGAGCCCCACAACTTGTTGGGAATGGGTCCGAACTCGCCCCAGGCGGGCGGATCGGTCGGGGAATGCTCTTCCTGCCGGTCAGGTGTGGGTTCCGGCCCACTTTGCTCTAGGTCTTCTCCTGAGGATGTAGTTTCCCTTCCCTCCGTCAAGTGCGCTCCTGGCGGGAACGCCAGTACACCTGATATTGCCAGGCCGCTATCCTTCTCCCCGGTGGACACGAATATGTGGTCGATGATTCCGCTGAAGGAGCTGCAGTGCGCCGGACGTGCGGGGAAAAGTTCGTGGGGAGTGTCGGCTCAAAAATTACGTGGTTCTACACGGGAGTCGGAGAAAGAAAGGCATAAGAGTTTTACATTCAGGTGAAATCAAGTAGCATGGTGTTGGGTGCACCTTAGCTTGCGCCCCAACTGCCTTCAAGAGCACGAATGTCGAGGAATCGTTGGACTTACTCCGCCGACGGTGGTAACAGCACCAATTCTTTCAGTCGCCCACAACGCATGCGTGGTGATGAACCAACCTGGCTGCGCGGTGTGGAACGTATTGATCAGCGCTTTGGGTGAACCTGTAGGTGCCTGCGGCCCAACGCCTGCTGTTAACCATCAGTACCGCACGCACGGAGAACTATTTGCCAACCAACAACCCGTGCTGAATCTGTCCCCCAACCTCCTGGACAAAAGTACCTTGTTTTTGTCGTGAAGGAAGGAGACACGGCGCCCCTATCCCGGTACGCGTCCTCCAACGTGCCTCCAAAGCCGCTGACCCACTCGCCAGACGGGCGATGTTCCGCGGGGACAACGGGAGCTCCCCGTGTTCGGCGAGTTCGCCGGGGCGTCCATAGCTTCCCCCCCCCCACTTTCGGCAATTCTTGCCTAGAGATCTCCTCCTGTTCCTTGCGCTTCAGCCATTCGGGGATGAAGGTATCCGGGTGTTCCGGGTGGGTGGGGGGTACGCAGCCGTAGTTGAGCAGGCAGTAAACCCCACTCGCTGTAGCTTGACTGCTGGGATAGACGTCCTTGGAGGTATTTGGCTGGCTTCCGGGAGTGGGTGCTGACGGGTCTTGAGACCCGATGGCCGCGGTGGTCTGGAGTCTTGCTTGTGCTGCAGCCTACAGCGGGGGAACAACCAGGGGAGACAATGGACAACCGCAAGCTCGCACCAATTGTGGTGGTCGTTCACATGCATACGTTGAAAGGAACCTGAAACCGTAGAGTGCAAGATGCGGGCAAGCACAACCGTAATCGCACGAGAGATACCTCCTCAGTGGGCGTGCTCACCTTCAAAGGCCCTGGCAAAAACCACGGGTCCACGAGCGGCTTCGAGTTGAAATCTGCACACAGGACCAGATTTGCGGGGCCAAGCGACGGTATTTCGCTACCGGCTTTACCGCCACCAAGAGCACTGGCAACACCACATTTCTCGTGAAGGCGGTCGATGGCCTGGAACAGCATTTGACACTGCGCCGTCTTCAGGTCCGGTCGATTGGGGTCGTAAAACAGGTGCGCGCAGACGACGGTGAACGAGCGCCCATTCTCCCCACCGCCGCCACGGCCACCTTTGCCGCTGGCACCTTCCTCGAGGTCGTCGCTTTCTTTCAGCCTCAACCGTACCAAAGCGGCAGCATCGTGCCTGTTCGCCAGGTCCTGCTCTAGGCGGGAGACCGTAGCTGGATCCTGCTCGCGCTTCGCCCCCCGTCCCGTGTCACCCCCGTAGACACGCCGCAGGAACTGGTCACACGGTGGCGCCGCACCCTTCCCCGCCCTTGTTGTCGTTGCCTTTGGGGCTGCTGGTACTGCTTCCGGTAACTCGGACGCACGGCTGCTATGGGAGCGCTCTCCCTCGCGGCCCCTGTCCTCCCGGAGGCCCAGGGTTTCTTCGGAGAACACCACGCGCACTTCGGCCATCTTTTCGAAGTGTGTGGAGCTGTAGAATATTGCTACGCCCAGGCACCGGGATCGGTGCCTCCTGGATATTTGCCAGCATGGTAAGAGGATGAGTCCGTGCAGTTAGCGGAGATAGGAGGGGAGACTTGACAACGGAAAGACAAAGGCAGCTGTATTGGCCTTCTAAGATGAACAAGCAATTCCCGTACTGCAGCAGAGCATACCGGAGATTCTTGCCCTTCTACTCGCTTCATTCAGCTGAGCGCATACGCCATCGCAGCATAATTCTGCAGCTTCGAACTACGAACACACAGCACCCCAGATGGGAGACAGCCGTCGACTCGGGCAGCTGGCGACCGGAATGCTCACGACCTCTGCTTTCTTACACTCCGGGGTTGCATGATGTATATTTCCAGTATAATAGTACGTCCTCTCTCTTGCAATGTGCTTTCTCGTCCACCACGAGGGAAGCTTTGAAGCCCGACTGCTACGGTGTCGGATAGCAACCACCATCTCACCTTTGGGGGCGATCGCTTTTGGGCTGATAGACATGCCGGTCTAGTCCGAGCTTGGCCATGAAGGGCAGCCAGTCATACCCAAGCGTCCTGAAGGTCACTTCCTGCGAATGGCAGCGCGTCCGCGTGATGGAACGCACACAAGAGAGCGTTACATCGAGGTTCTTGGGGTTGATTTTTATGGCAGATATGTGGCTGGAACGCAGGACCCAAGACAAAGCCACAATACACGTTCCTGTGGTGGGACTCTCAACGCGATATCCTGCGCACTACATCTGATCAGGTCGGACACCAGCAGACCACGGTGGCACTGCCTCGCATTTGCTAGGAATGTCGTGGAAATAGCGATGCTGTGGAACGAAATGCTGTTACCTCACGGCCGAGGCCTACAGCTGCCGTAACGGCTGGGTTACCATTCTCCACCCCATCCTTGCTGTTGCAAGATGTTGACAGCAGCTGAACCCTGCACAATGCATGCAGTAAAACTATTGCCCACAACTGCTGCACTACAAATGGAGCAGAGCGTCGGCAGAGGTGATGGTTTCACATCAGCCCTGGTGCATTAACCAATATCACGCAGCTTCGGTCTCACCTGAAGACATATGACTTGAACGCCACCGGGGTCGGACTTGCAGTACGACCATATCTCCTCCCGTAACCTGTCGCGTCTCGTCGGCCAGTTTCGAATCTGCGAGCAAAGTAAAACGGGAACATCAGAGTTACGTGCAAGTAGACCGGCATGGAGCGCGGACCCGATGAAGACTGGAGGGCAAATATAGTAGTAGCGCGAACAACTGATGGTGTCATCTTGTGAGATGGGACTCAGTCCACCTGCGCGCGACGACGAGTGCAAGGTTGCATGCTTTAACGTGCCTTCTATAGGTCCTGCCCAAAACCACAACTTAAAACATAGAACACTGAAACAATCAAATACCTCCCAAAATGTTGTTTTCATTGGTCTCTTTTGGGATCTATTCCACCTTCATAAGGCAAACTGGAGAATGCTGACAAAAACAAGCCTTCAGCAACTGCTGTTGCTGTTCTATACTCACGTCAACGCCGACGTGGTCATGCTTGTCCGCGAGCCCCTGACGCGCTCCCAAAACGTTGTACGAAAGTATTCGGATGCGGTCAGAAGCGGCTTCGCCCTTTCGTTCCGCTCCTTCACGCCTAAGACCGATGGTTGGCAGCAACAGGAGCGTTTCCGGCACATCGTCCGTTAGAGAAAACAGTGTTGCCACCACAGACCTCGCTTGCACCGCGACCCTTGACCCACTACGCTTGTAGGGTCGTAACAACAATCCCGAGCATCGGGTCTTTGCTGTGCAATCTGGAACAAGCACTGGTCTCTGCGCGCACCTCGAACGCCAGGAATCTTGCTTGTCGCCTTCAGAACGATTCAAGTAGAGGAGTGCCGGTACAGTACTACATGTACATAAACGCCAGGGTCCCAAGGGAATCAGTCAAAGAAGAAGACCCTCTTGTGGAGAAATGATGGCTTAAACCCATTCTTAAAAAGAGGGCACCCGCGACTCTCCCGCTGTGAGCGACCAGGTCTTCGGAAAAGAATAACCCACAACGACGTCGTCGTTGTCGACTGACTTCCCTGAGGCCGCCTCTTTTGTGCGCTGACCCGATAGTTCTGTTGTCCTACCTCCTCCCCCTGTGTTTTGACCTTGCGATGTAGCAACTGGCTACAGCCAAGGAACCGTTGCCACGTCAAAGGGAAGCGCGGAACCTGGGAGGGGGGAGCACCCTCCAGAGATGGTGAACAGCTGCCAGAGGAGGGGGAGGGGGACGAAGTAGAAAAACAGGACGATCGCGCCGGCGCAAACAGAGACAGCCTCGAGGAGGTCGATGACAACGACGTCGTGGGTTCTTCCTCTAGGCCCGCAGACGTGATTGCGCACAGCATGAGAGCCGCGGGGGCTGGGCAGCACTCCAACTCCTCTCTTCCAACCAAATGCCCCCCCCCCTCCGCCCCCCCCGGTGTTTGCCATCGGGGTCGGGTTTTCGTCGCTTGGCAACGACGTTGTAAAACAAGACCCCCACTCGGTGTTTGCCATCGGGATGGGGTTTCCGTCGCTTGGCAACGACGTTGTAAAACAAGCCATTTCACTTCGTGAACTCGGCAACCAGGTTTTTTTTTTACCCCGGTTTTGTTTTTGGGGTAACCATAATGGGGGTCGAGTAAATCATGGTGTGCGGGGTGGAGAAACCTCAC